CATGTAAACGCTGAGTGCTCCCCATAGAAAAGCATTGAGATTCATTGTTTCCGTAGCGAGATTGGCACCGTGAGGGAGAAAAGGTAAGTGATATCACCTTTTCACTGCAATTTGAGGGGGGACTTAAACAGCCACTCCAGGACTATAGTATTAAGAATAGATGCTTGTATTCCTAACGCTATAGTGTTCCTTTAATATTACTGTGTTGTTTTCTGATACAGGTAAGTGTATCTACTGTATAGCCAGACTGGACCAAGGTTTCTTCCATGGCTAAAGGCTGAAGTAACTCACAAGGTAATGTATTAAGAAGTCTTAGTAGTAGCACAAATCACACAAGCTTGAACGTATTCCCTTATGTCCTTCTTGTAGTAAAGCAACCAGAACTGTGCGGCGAGAAGAGATTCAGTCTTATGGATTCTGGGATGATCAGCTATTTTACTGCAATGCATTAAAGCAAGTACAGTCTCTCTGTAATCAGGACGAACAAATAATTTATTAGGGGGTGTTTGCTCCGGTGCTTGATTTTGTTCAGTTTCAAATGGTTGACCAACTCTGAATGTAATAAAGTTTTTGTGATAGCAATAATATGTTCCTTAGGAATGATGGACGAAAAAACGGGTTCTGTTATTGTCTGAGGCTCAAACTGATTAGTTAACGTCTCCGATTTCATGTTCTTGGATCATGGTCTGTAAGTAACTATGAAATAAAAATGGGATTAAAAAGGGAACCAACTACCTTGCCTGTCCATTAATTTCTTAACTACCTCCTCCAAAGTAAGACAAATTCTTGTGGTCCATAAGAATTGTTATAGAATTAGGAGATGTGTCATTTAAAGCTAGACTCACAGTTCTCCATCTCCTATGTCATAATGTTTCTCTGTTTCTGACAACTTCCTAGAATAAAATCCCTTGGGATAAAAGGGTTCACCTAGCATCTTTCTTTGAAAGTGCACAACCCTTACTCCTGATTCAGAGGTGATTCACGGCGAAACCCCAGGTTTGTTCTCACACCAATTGGTGTCCTAAGCCAACATTTTGCACATGAAGTAGGCTCACTGGGAGCAACAATTCTCCATCTCTGAAGTTGCAGCTCCTTGCCCTACACAGACGACTACTAGAGGTGCTTCCTGTGTCAGTGTTGCAAAGTGTGCAACATTCTGCATAATAACGCTGAGTGCTCCCCATAGAAAAGCATTGAGATTCATTGTTTCTGTAGCGAGAATGGCACCGTGAGGGAGAAAAGGTAAGTGATATCACCTTTTCACTGCAATTTGAGGGGGGACTTAAACAGCCACTCCAGGACTATAGTATTAAGAATACATGCTTGTATTCCTAACGCTATAGTGTTCCTTTGATATTACTGTGCTGTTTTCTGATACAGCATCTACTGTATAGCCAGACTGGACCAAGGTTTCTTCCATGGCTAAAGGCTGAAGTAACTCACAACAAGGTAATGTATTAAGAAGTTTTAGTAGTTGCACAAATCACACAAGCTTGAACGTATTCCCTTACGTCCTTCTTGTAGTAAAGCAACCAGAACTGTGCGGCGAGAAGAGATTCAGTCTTATGGATTCTGGGATGATCAGCTATTTTACTGCAATGCATTAAAGCAAGTACAGTCTCTCTGTAATCAGGACAAACAAATAATTTATTAGGGGGCGTTTGCTCCGGTGCTTGATTTTGTTCAGTTTCAAATGGTTGACCAACTCTGAATGTAATAAAGTTTTTGTGATAGCAATAATATGTTCCTTAGGAATGATGGACGAAAAAATGGGTTCTGTGATTGTCTGAGGCTCAAATTGATTAGTTAACGCCTCCGATTTCATGTTCTTGGATCATGGTCTGTAAGTAACTATGAAATAAAAATGGGATTAAAAAGGGAACCAACTACCTTGCCTGTCTGTTAATTTCTTTTAGCTACTCCAAAGTAAGACAAATTCTTGTGGTCCATAAGAATTGTTATAGAATTAGGAGATGTGTCATTTAAAGCTAGACTCACAGTTCTCTATTTCCTATGTCATAATGTTTCTCTGTTTCCGACAACTTCCTAGAATAAAACCCCTTGGGATAAAAGGGTTGACCTAGCATCTTTCTTTGAAAGTGCACAACCCTTACTCCTGATTCAGATGTGTCAAGTTCTACAAGAAAGGGATGTGTTCGATTTGGATGCAATATTATTGGTTTTGAAGCAAAGGCTGACTTGACAGTATCAAATGCAGCACAAGCTTCTGGAGACCACTACTGGTGATGTCTTCCTTTCTTATTCATAGCAGTAATGGCAGCACACATAGAACAAAACCTCTTAAAGGTACACTCCAGGCACCCAGACCACTTCTGCCCATTGGAGTGGTCTGGGTGCCAACTCCCACTACCCTTAACCCTGCAAGTGTAATTATTGCAGTTTTCATAAAAGAGGAGCATGGGCGGACCCTGACCCAGCGCCGAGGGACATCGCCGCTAGATACAGGTAAGTCACTGAAGGGGTTTTAACCCTTTCATCAACTTGGGATGGGGGGTGGGAGGGAGACCGAACCTGCAGAGTCAGAAAATGGTTTGTTTACCTGGCACTGGAGAGTCCCTTTAATGAACCTTCAATAGTAGTTTGAAAAAAAAAATCATTGTATGGCTTTCAATCCTTTAGGTAATAGCCACTGGAGTATAGCCTCAAGCTTTTTAGGATATACATAGAATCCAGTAGAAGAAATCACATATCCTAAGAAATTGATTTCCTTCTGATCAAAGAGACATTTTTCAAGTTTGCAGAAAAAAATTCTCTAATAGTTTCGGAAGAACTTGTCTCATATGAATATGAGAAGTCTCAAGATCTTGGAAATTAATCAAAATGTGATCTAGCTAGACAATTACAAACTCATGCAAATAATCTCTAAATACATCATTAATGGGGTCGTGGAAGACGGCTGGGGTAATACAGAGGCCAAAGGGCATCGTTGTGTACTCGTAATGCCCATATCTGGTAATGAAAGCCGTCTTCCATTCATCCCCTTCACTGACTTGAACTAGATCGTATGCCCCTCTTTACTCAAGTTTAGTGAATATTGAAGACCCTTTATGTTTGTCAAATAATATTAAAGGACCACTATAGTGCCAGGAAAACATACTCGTTTTCCTGGCACTATAGTGCCCTGAGGGTGCCCCCACCCTCAGGGACCCCCTCCCGCCGGGCTCTGGAGAGAGGAAGGGGTTAAACACTTACCTTTCTCCAGCGCCGGGTGGGGAGCTGTACTGCTCCTTTCCTCCTTGCTCGCGACGTCATCGGCTGAATGCGCATGCGCGGCAGGAGCCACGCGCGCATTCAGCCGGTCGCATAGGAAAGCATTTACAATGCTTTCCTATGGACGCTTGCGTGATCTCACTGTGATTTTCACAGTGAGAAGCACGCAAGCGCCTCTAGCGGCTGTCAATGAGACAGCCACTAGAGGCTCTGAAGGCTGGATTAACCCTCAGTATAAACATAGCAGTTTCTCTGAAACTGCTATGTTTATTAAAAAAAAGGCTTAATCCTAGAGGTACCTGGCACCCAGACCACTTCATAAAGCTGAAGTGGTCTGGGTGCCTAGAGTGGTCCTTTAATGGTATTAATTGTTCAAATCACAAAAAACAGATCTCCTTGACTGGTTATGGAAGGAGGAGGGAACATTATACGTAGTCATTAGCTATCCATTATTTCATAATTTTTTTCATTTTCTTTACAGCTGTGGGCTGAACCCAAAAGTGATGCTGCCTGGATGCCAGCAATATACCTTTGAAGTTAAGTTGTTAAAATATTGCAGTTTTTGTCATATGCGAATTCTTAAGTACACATCACTCACCCTCTCGAAATTACTACCAACTCGCTTCACTACGTGTACCTGTTTCTCTCTTTTCATCAATTTGAACTTTACTAGCCTGTTTTCTTTAATAACTAAAAAATGTGCAAAGTCTTAGCTATGCCAATGATTGTTCTAGAATTGCTCGCACTCGCTGTTGTGGTGCTGCAAGCGTGTCTGTAATCATATGCACAAGAAAAATAAAGATTTATTTTTTTTAAATGCAGTTTTAAATTGGATAAGATCATTTCTACACAATGTTAACATTTGGTGTAAGTCATATTTCTCCTATGTTTGCACTTGGTTAGTAATGAAGGTGTTAAAGAAATTAGAGAGTTTCCCATAAATCCTTGCACAGCTGGAGTTTTTGTGATAAAAAGCACTGCTTTTTTTCTGATGTTACAGACTTCTGGGCATGGCAACAACTACATTACTAGAGTATTCTTAATATACAGCACCCCCCAGTGGATAATGGGAAAAATGCAGCACACTACAAAATATGTTTTCGAATCTCCCGATTAGAAAGCTGACATTTTTACTCCAAAAAACGAAAGTAAAAGAGGGAAATAAATGTCCTTTACATTGTTTCATAATCCCTATTTTCTCCTACTCGCATGATACAGTACAGGAATAACTTGAGGCAGTAATCCAAAGTCCCATGCCCATGGCCTGCCAGGAAAGATGCCAGATTGGGGCCCGCACCTTGGCCAGTTTGCATATATGTGCTTCATCTTGGGAGGGGCCCACTGTCAAACCCCCACACCCCTCAACGTTTTGTCACTCTGCTCTTATCCCCCCTTAACACACTTTTTATAATTTCCACACTTCACTGTCCCCATTCCCCTTCCATACCTCACAAGTGTCTATTTAGGAGGGACAGTCCCTATTTTTAGCTTAGATTTTCTGTCCTTCTTTTCTATCCTAATGTCCCTCTTTTCTAGGGGCTCCATATTGTTGGTGCGTCTCAGTGTATAACACGAGCTCCACAGCAATAATACTCACAGTAATGTGTTTAGAAATCATCCTGTGTAAATAAGATACATTTTTCTTGTTCTAAATTACATTTTAGTTGCAGAAATTGTTACTAATAAGTAAGCTAACATTTCTTGGAATAGCCGCTCCCCTGGTCACACCTCCTCTCACACACCTAAAATTAAAGTGTCCCACGGGGCGTGGCCTGACCACCATACTGATTGGTCGCACTTAGTGTGAGCTCTCGGCAAAATTATAGAACCGAGCAAATAAATTGACTCAACATTCAAGTAAACTTGACAACTCCTGTTTTTGAGGCGTTTGGTGATCTTACCCCGAAGCATCTCTAAGGCCTACCTGTGGGGGCAGCTTGGGAGAAACGGACGATCTCCCTGCTGATCATCCTGCCAGGACGTGGAGAGGTGGAAGGGTTCCCCGTTCCCCCCCCTGCCAGTGAGGGACATCCAGGCACTTGCTCTTTGACACATCAAACTAAAGGGGCCTCTGTGATCCTGCAAAAGCCCTGGCACTCTGAGGCATTCCCAACAGCCACAGCTAAAATGGCAGACGCGCCATGCGATGGCAGACTGGAGCCATCTATCAGGCGCCAGGACAAAATATTTGCCAACTATTGGCTCAAACTCACTGACAGCCACAAGCAACGTGAGGAGAGGAAGCAGGGCGATGGCTCACTGCAAGTCTCACCTCCTGATACTCACGACCCACGCCTAATCTCGTCAGGCAAATAATCTCCGCACTGCGCTACTCGCACCTGCGGAGGCGACCCGATCGACCCCCTGGCACTTACCGGAGCCACAAGGTGACCAAAAGTTAATCACCGCAATCCCGAGCAGAGTACCGCGAGGGGGAGCTCCCGGGTGCATATATCTCACCTCCGGAGGGAGAAACTTCAAGACCAAGCTAACACTAAACCGCACTGGAACACCGGTAACGGAGCTACACACAGCCGGACCAGCAGGAACCGACAACGTGCTCCCACTCAAGCCTGGGGCAGACTGAGTGGCCAGTTCTGGGTCACTGGGACTTTCACTAACCAAGGAGGTCAGAAGCCAAGTCTGGGGATAGGGTGAACTGCCCACATTTAACTACCTGTGGTGTGCTTTTTAGTTATTGCCTTGCTTTTATTTCACTGACTGATATGTATCAACCCTTGCCTGGATTGCTCCTGCTATGTTTCCTTCTCACTTAACTACCTTTGCAGTGCTGATGGTATCTAGTGGTCATGGCGCTCTGTCCTCTATGAGCCGCCGAGCATATTATTATATTCTGTTTAATAATCATCTCAGCTTAGGAAATTGATAGCAACACGTTGTTAAGTACCTGCAGTTCCTTTCTCTACTTATCAATTCTTGAGTTTGAGTCACTGACTTACTTCCTTATCTATAAAATGCTTTTGATTGTATTTACATGTGTTGAAAATATATCCCGTATTCTACTTATGATGAATATTATACCTCTGTGCAGGTTGACCTCTGTTACATTATCTCACTGCACGTCAAAATAAAGAAATACATTTTTTTTTTAAAATTAAAGTGTCCCTCTTAGTCCATTCACAATCCCATTATCTTTCTTACCACACTTCACTAGTCCTCATATCCCCCTTATTTCCTCTTGACATGCGCATGGTGGCCTTATCGGCATATCCAGCTTAACTTTAATACCCACACCCATTCAAACGCAGACTACAATTTAATGTTGGAAAATATATGTCCACAGTTTTATTAACACATATAAAGAACATAAGGTCATTGTCACCTCCAAACACACGTTACTTAAATGTCCTTCGTCAACCACATGTGATTAACCCAGGCAATGACCCACACATTTACATCCAATCTATAATATGACAGTAACTTAAAGGACCACTATAGGCACCCAGACCACTTCTGCTTAACGAAGTGGTCGGGGTGCCAGGTCCAGCTAGGGTTAACCCTTTTTTTTTTTTTATAAACATAGCAGTTTCAGAGAAACTGCTATGTTTATAAATGGGTTAATCCAGCCTCCAGTGGCTGTCTCTTGACAGCCGCTAGAGGCGCTTGCGTGCTTCTCACTGTGAAAATCACAGTAAGATGACGCCAGCGTCTATAGGAAAGCATTGTGAATGCTTTCCTATGGACTGGCTGAATGTACGCGTGGCTCCTGCCGCCCATGCGCATTCAGCCGAAGAGGAGGAGAAGAGGGAGGAGAGGAGGAGGAGAGCTTCCCGCCCGGCGCTGGAGAAATAATAATAGACAGGAAGCTACCATTCCAGTTCCTGATGTCTCACCACTACGCCACCTGTCCTCCTTAAAAAAAAACTGACATCATCTAATTAACCTTTCCCCTACACCGAGCCACCGCAGAGAAGTCCCTAGCATGCAGCAGCTGATAGCATGTGAAAGGAATGAGGAGGTGATTGGCTGTAGTTCCAAACAGCTGGAAGAGCCTCCTATATAGTTGGGAGGAACCTGGGTGCGTAGAGCTGAGTGAAATTGAAAGCCCTTGTTGCAGGGATGGATGATGATTTGGGGCTTACAGCTGCAGTGTTCAAAACTGAAAGGCCCGGGGCGTGGCCTAGCGGTGGAACGAAATGGCCGCATAGAGACTGAGCTCCTCCGGCCCCACTCTGCCATGCACGTTACTCCGGCCACAGATACAGGAAGGGGAAGCACACTAAGGCGGGAAGCACCCCCAGACCACCGGGGACCCGCTAAGTGAGCCACAACTCCTCCATGCGGCAGTTCCTGGCCGCGACACCAGACCCGACCTCCCAGGCGTCATCTGAGGCCTACCCGCCATTGGAAGCCTCCACGCCACACTCCCTCTCACCAGGCCAGGATGATTCAAGGGAGACCCCACCGGCAGACTGGTTGGCCCTGCTAAGGGCATTACCCACACGGGCTGACCTCACCCAGGCTACCTCAGCCCTCCAGACTTCCATCAGGGCGGACCTTCAGCTGATGAGGGCCGACATCCAAGGTATGGCGGACCGCATGGCCCAAATAGAGGCGGATCAGGACTCCCTTACCGCAGCGCAAGCGGTCCAAGTCGCAAGCCACTCCAAGCAAACTGCCCAAATGCAAGCAATGGCCAGACAAATAGAAGATCTGGACAATAGGGGCTGCAGACAGAACCTACGAATAAGAGGCCTACAAGAAGGTGAAGACACACCCGCCCATCTTCAACGATCTCCTGAGCCGCCCCAGAGAGACCCCCATAGAGTACGTCAGAGCCCACAGGGCACTGAGACCCAGGGGCCCGCCAGAGGCACCGCCTAGGAACGTGATCTGCTGCCTAGCACTATACTCCCTAAAAGAAGAAATCCTGCATGAAGCCCGCAACAGGGGAGAAATCACCCACGAAGGCCAACACCTCCAATTGTACCCGGACCTATGCCCGGCCACTTTGGGACATCGCAGGGCACTAAAACCACTCACCAGAATGCTAGTGGTCCAGAAAATACGATATCGCTGGACCTTTCCTATGGGCTTGATAGCCACCACCCAAAGCGGCCCTAGATCGATCTGCACCCCACGGGACCTGCAGGAGCTATCAGAAGAACTCCACCTGCCACCTCTTCACCTGACCTGGCCGGACCCACTGGATTTTTATTACAGCCCACCCACACACCAAAATTGAAAGGCCAATAAACATACCTTAACTCCTTAAAAAATCCTTTATTCTGTATTTTCATGTGTTAATGCCTGGAGTAATATTGGCATTTTTACTATGTCTGTTCCACCATAATTTCATGCTTTCCTATTTACTGCGCGCACACACTGTCAGGGTCATTTTCTGATGTAGGAATAGTTGGGAATTGAACAGGACATTTCATACCAAAATAACCGAGGTGGAACCATTCATTAACATAGTCTATTTTTTTAAACTTATTTTGTTTTAAAATTCACAAATTCCCCTTTTTTTTAAAATGCTGTCAACCAAGGTGTATTTTTTTAGGAGAGTATACTGAAGATAGCAATAATCGGCTGCCGTTTCGCCCTTCCGCCATTGCATCTTTCTTTTTTTTCACCTTCTGTATCTACAGAGCTTGTACCACCCTTTTGCTTATCTTTTTTGTCTGGCATACACTTGGTCCCATGTAAAGCATGGGGTAAGACAAGAGAAAGGAAAAGAAAGATATGAAAGGAAAAGATAGACATTTAGAAAGAGATGGGGGGGCACTGGAGCACGCGGCAGGGAACAGGGGTGGCTGGTCCTTAATGCTTGTGACTGTGTTGCATTCCTGTTGGTTCTGTCCATGGCGACTGTCTATCTTGTCACCTGGCTCCTCATGGGACTCCACAAATCCCCCCTTAAAGTCACCCCAAACCCATTTGACATGGACTCTAGACTAAACTATGTGTTCTACACATGGGATACATTGCCCAGGTTAGAATACTCCAATATTCATGAAATCATCTGCTTGGACCATGCAATATAACATACCCATTTTTTGCCTCGCGTGACAGGGATTGTTCATGGAGGTTGAATGACTCATTGCGTAGGGACCCCAAGGAAGCACCGATGGGCTCTTCTGAAAAACATTTTTACTAATGAAATCCAGGAGGTCTCCAAAATGTCTATATGGGACTTCCATAAGGCAGTGAATAGTGCAATGCCACCTCATTGTTGGATTCCAGATGGAATTGTCATTGTGTCCAAGTAGGGAGGGATCTGATGGGTAGATTGCACTCCCTTGAGTGGATCCACAAATAAACTAACAATGCCACTATTCTGCACGCACTGGTGGATGTGTGGGACAGCTTCACATATTGCTCTCCCAGTAGACGAGCACCAACAAATTTGAGAATGGACTGTCTGATCACTGCAGGGGGGAGGTTATCCATAGTGCTGGGATGATTTCTCTCTATTTGAGCAATACTACTGACCTCTCTATTAAAAATTAAAATGGCCCGTCTAGTCCCACCTCCACGATATAAACTTTGCCAACACTCACATCAGTGGAATTCAGGGGCGGACTGACCGGTCGTGAAACTTCGGACACGGTCCGAGGGCCTGGCCGGGAGGGGGGCCCACCTCCAGGGCTGCCATCAGGGGGCCCGGCGGCAGGGCTGGATTGGGGGCGGCATCTGGGGACTTCAGTGGAAGGTGCCACCGGGTGGCCGGTCTGGTGGCACACTGTGAGGGGGCCGGCCGCGTTTCATGCTGGAGCCGCCGAACCGGGTGGCAGCCTCGCCGGTCCGGCGGCATTCCTCTCACTAACGCTGAAGGAGGAGGAGCATGTCTCTCTATCATGCTCCCTGCGGTTCCCACAATTCCCAGCACAGGATGTGGGAACCACAAAGGAGCATGATAGAGAGACATGCTCCTCCTCCTTCAGCGTTAGTGAGAGGAATGCCGCCGGACCGGTGAGGCTGCCACCCGGTCCGGCGGCTCCAGCATGAAACAGCGGGGAACAGAGAGATGGGGAGGAGGGAGAAAGAGGGGAATAGAGAGATGGGGAGGGGGGAGAAAGAGGGGGGAGAGATAGAGAGATGGAGGGAAGAATTGGGGAGAAAGAGGGGGAAACAGAGAGATGGGAGGGGGAGAAAGAGGGGGGAAGAGATGGAGATGGGGGAATAGAGAGATGGGGAGGGGGGAGAAGAGAGGGGAGGGGGGGAGAAAGAGGAGGAATAGAGAGATGGGAGGGGAAATGGAGAGGGGAATAGGAGAGATGGGAGGGGGAATGGGAGGGGGGAACAGAGAGATGGGAGGGGAATGGAGGGGGGAAACCGAGAGGTGAGGGGAAACAGAGAGATGGGAGAGGGGAACAGAGAGATGGGGAGGAGAAAGAGGGGGAATAGAGGAGATGGAGAGGGGAACAGAGCGATGGGAAGGGGAGAAAGAGGGGAATAAAGAGGGGGAACAGAGAGATGGAGAGGGGAGAAAGAGGGGGGAATAGAGAGATGGAGAGGGGGGAGAAAGAGGGGGGAATAGAGAGATGGGGAGGGGGGAGAAAGAGGGGGAACAGAGAGATGGGGAAGGGGGAGAAAGGGGGGGGTGTAAATATTGATGTGTATTTGTTTGTATTGTTGGCGTTTCAATGCTGCTATGTGCAGTGCCATCTTAACAGCATTATAGGCCCCTGGGCGAAGCAGTGCACTGGTGCCCTGTCTACACAACCACTCACAGGAATAAAAATGTAATTATCGATCAAATTTATCTTATATTTATTGGTACCTCCAACAAATACAATACATACATACAATACATATACACACACAGACTGCTTAACACATTCCCAGACTGCTGAACACATTCACACACAGACTGCTGAATAGATTCACACACTGCTGAGTACACCCAGAGACTGCTGAGTAAACACTCACTGCTAAATACATTCACACATGGCCGAGTACACCCAGAGACTGCTGAGCACACACACAGAGACTGCTGAATACATTCACACACAGATACACAAACACTGCTGAATACACACACAAGGACTGCAGAATACACACACGGCTAAATGCACACAGATTGATGTGAGGGATGCAGCGTCTGTGTGTGTGAGGGATGCAGGGTTTGTGAGGGATGCAGCATGTGTGAGAGGTGCTGTGTGTGTGCACGATGGGTGCTCTGTGTGTGCAAGGTGTGCTGTGTGTGTGTGTGAGGGCTGCAGGGTGTATGTGAGGGGTGCAGTGTGTAAGGAGTGCTGTGTGAACACATTCACACACAGACTACTAAATATACACACACACTGCTGAATATACACATACACTGCTAAATACACAAACTGCTGAATATACACAGATCGCAGTGAGGGTTGCAGTGCGTGTGTGTGTGTGAGAGGTGCTGTTTTTGTGTATGTGTTTGTAAGGGGTGCTGTTTGTGTGTGTGTGGGGGGGGGGTGATCAGGGAGAAAAAGTATATATTTTATTATTTTCATTTAAAAATAAAAATAAAGTATTATCTCCCTCCCCCACCCCAATATTCTTACCTTTTGCTATGGAGGAAGGAACATTGCCAGCCCTGGTGGTCCAATGGTAAGTACAGAACTCGCCCCCTCTCCTCCCACAAGCATGCTGGTCGGAGCATTGCCATGGTAACGTGCGGCAACGCTCCGACCAGCATGCTCGCGGGAAGAACGATCTGCATCCCAGGTCCTGTACTCCCTCTCCTGCTGCTTTGGGTCCTCCCTCTTCACCAGCGAAGGGAATTTGGGTTGGTGATGGAGATCTTTGATCTCCCCACTGGCATGAGAGGGCCCGTAGCAACTGAGCAGGGCTGGCTCTCCATGGGTTGGAAAGGGAGATCAAAGGATCTCCCCTGTCGGCTTGTGCCCACGGGCATCACAGTGGGGCCCCTGGGAAAGTGCCCAGTGTGCCCATGCAGAAAGACGGCTGTGTGTTTTTATGTACTGTTACCATTTGAATACAGTGTTTGGCATTTCAATTCAGTTGCGTTTCTGCATGTATGCTTGGCATTTGATTGCATGGTATATTTAAATGAGAACTTATTAAGTTAATAAATAAGGTTAATAAGAAACAGCAAGACAGTAGTCTGTGTGAATGTCCATGCATAAAATATCTGAAGGGAGTTATGAAAGAGCTGCATTCATGTCATTTATCTCCAGAGCCAATATTATATGCGACCATCAAAAAGAAAAGAATATATAAAAAAAAAGCAAAAACCAATATATTGTAAAACATTTACGAATAATGAATTAGTGAGCAGCACCCAAGATCGTATGAAAGCAATAGAGCGCCACCAAACTAAAAACGTAGTCTTGGAAGTACTGCATTAAGCATAAAGGAGATGGAATACAAAAAAAATGGGAAAGTGATAGGAGAGAAGAGGTAAGAATTGTGAAAAAAGGGGGGGATGGAGAGAAACAAGGAGTCCCGAGATGATGTAGCAGAGCAGACCTGCCCAGGACCCAGCCAGAGCCACTCCATGATGCACAATTGGCAGAAAATTAAATAACTGAGAAAAGTAATATCAAGAAACAGAGCTCCGCTGCTACATGCTCCAATGCCCTAAGCAAGACGATTCTGCACCTCCGGGTAGGACATATAATCTAGACCAGGGGTAGGCAACCTACGGCACTAGTGCCATGCACGGCACTCAAGGTGTCTTTGCACGGCACTCAAGGCTGCTAGAGCCAAAACAGGCTCTGTCCTATCAGGAGTCCCAGTAAAACTTCAGATATCTGCTAATACGAAGAGGTGGTGAAGGACAATCCTCAATTTATGCATTGCAGCACGAGGAAGTGCTAGATATACACAGATCTGCAGAATAACCCTCCCCTCATACAAATAATACGAACAGCCCACACACAAACATACACACAATCCACACAAACTCAACACCACTGACAATCCACATACATGCACACAACCCCACATGCAGCCTCTCACATGCAATACCCCAAACAGCCCCACACATACACACAATATGACATATCCATATCCATCCACACACAATTCCACAAGCAGCCCTCGTACACCGCCCACATTCATACGTATCATACACGATATCACAAACTACTAATGAACATATACAATATAATAGCTTATATACACATAAATACAACGATACAAAGCAACCACAGTAAAAATAACACAAGCAGAATTCGTCAGCATACACACCTCAATTTAAAAAAATAGGATCGGCACACTACAGGACATCACAATCCGATCTCGGCCCAGTGCTGCTAAAAGGTTGCCTACCCCTGATCTAGACAGTAAACACACAGCGTTAAATATAGCTTTGTTACAACTGACATGCTGTGAAATTGTCTCATCTCCTTCAATATAGCTGCCCACCAGGAGAAAGTTGGAGATGCCCCACTATGCTACGTTAATGGTATTGGTGCTCGGCAGTACATAATAAGCAACTGAATTTCTATATTGTGATGCAGCAATAGCTGGGCTGGCACAAATGGGGGCAGGTCATGAGATAATTTGCAATTTATGCCATGGATCATCCTCCAAAAACTCTAAACCACTGGGCATTCATACAAGACGTGTAGCATACTGCCTGTGCTTTATAAACACCTCCAACATCAGATATTTGTGGCATCCTAGCATGCAAAGGCTGGGGTCTCAGATACCTCCCGGAGTTGGATCAAAGCAGTACATTTATGAAGCATAATTTTATCCCACTCTTCCTTGTCCAGTGTAGATCCCATCTCTTTCACCTCTTTAGGAGTGCATGGGTGGTGCAGGGAGTACCTATTCTCCACCAACAATTTATTGCCCCTGCAATCTCCGAGGCAGATGACACATCCTTAGCTCCCGGTATATACAAACAAGAACCCTGCTGCTGAAGGAGCTGAGAAACCTACCTCCCAATGTGTGTTCCAATCAGCCACTCTACAGTGAGTGACAGTGCGGGATGGGGTTGATCTGTAAAGCCCCCTTGTAACCTCTCTCTAGGGTCTACTAGAAGCCTTAATTGCATGGAAGAGCCCTTAATTTAAACGCCTTCATTCTAAACTGAGATTTTTAAAGACAATACCTTTAGGCAGACCTTCTCACATGCCAATGGGCAACATGTCGAAGGGAAGACAAATATGAAATTCAAAAATCCAGAATCCCAAAACCACTACACAAAATATTTTAGGTATGGAGAGAGGTGACAAGGCAGCCAAAACAATTTCACTAGCAGGATCAAGTAGACACACATCAAGCCGATAAGTTAGAAGAAGATGCCACTGCACACCAGGGCAGTCCTTAAGGACAGACAAGCAATAACCCATGCTATTAGTAATAATAAATTCATTATTAGATGAAAATAAACTGATGAAATTCACTTTTGCAATGTTCCAACAGACATCAGTGGATAGGGCCAAAGAAGATGGCCACATGTTAGCTCTATGGTGACTTTCTAAATCCACAGCTACCTGTGCTACCACATTCCAGAATTCTTCTCCGAAGTGATATACACAAGCATGGTTAGAGATATTCCAGAAAAACTTAGATAATGTTTGGTTATTTTTAATCTTGAATTTGATGTTCACTTTGAATTCTTACTTTTGTGAATAGCACTGTACCACGTAAACAGGAAAATGAATTATTTTTAGAAGAAGATCTGCTTTTATGTGTCACAGTTCACCAATACTTTTCTGAGCAAAGAGTACTTGTTCACATTGTAGATTCACTTTTCCTCACTGACTGAGAAAACATTATTTTATTTTTTTGTCCTTTTGAAAGGGCAGTGTTGCATTGAGCAAGCATGTTTATTACGATAAATTGTTTAATAAAGCATTCCTTGTTACGAATACAAATGTTTTGTTAAAATGTGCGTTTATTAATAGAATAAGACATTTCAGTAATAAATAAGCACTAAATATGTGGCACAGTTAAACAGTAACTGTAGTAATCGGGACGTTGGTATGTGCTGAAACGTTTGGGAATCACTGTTGTTTATCATTCACACATGAAGTCTGTTGTTCATTCAGGGTGGTGGTACGGGCTCGCCCTTCTGTTGCAAGCCTGTACATCGCTTGGAAGATGTCCAGAACAGGAAGAACTGGCTCTGTCCCTGGATATAGTCCAGATTTTGATGTCAGCAGGTGTTCCATTTAGAAAGTGATCCAATAAAGATTATAGCTCACTTTTCTCTCACTCTTTGGTGGCAGAATATCAGAACCCGCCATTGTTAGCTCATTTGGACTGGGTCTCTTCACCTCTTGTCAACATTAACTTGTTTGCCAATTTATTGTTGTTACATATCCCCAGTATATAATTGTAAAGCTCTATGCTATGACTGATCAGCCACAACATTAAAACCACTAGCCTAATATCAAGTAGATCCCCCCTTGTGCCTCCAAAACAGCTCTAATGCATCGAGGTATGGACTCCACAAGACCTCTGAACATATCCTATGGTATCAGTCACCAAGACATTACCATGGATCAGGTTTGTTGTTACATCACATCCCACAGTTACTCAGTTAAATTGAAATCTGAAGAATTTGGAGAACAAGGCATGACCTTGAACTCTTTGTCATGTTCCTCAAACCATTCCTGCACAATTTTTGCAGCCTGTTGAAAGAGCCACTGCCATCAGGGAATGCCATTGCCATGAAAGGTGTACGTGGTCTGTAACAATCTCTAGGTAGATGGTATGTGTCAAAGTAATATCTGAATGAATGCCAGGACCCAAAGTTTCCCAGCCGAACATTGCCCAGAGCATAACACTGCCTCCACCAGCCTGATTTCTTCCCATAATGCATCCAGCTGTCATCTCTTACCCAGTCAAACAACCCACACCCACCTGGCCATCCACCTGATCTAAACAAAAACGTGATCCATTAGATCTTTCCATTTCTGATGCTCTCATCCCATTGAAGGTGCTTTCAGAGGTGGGAGGTGGTCATCATATATATTCTGAACAGTCTGCATCTACGCAGTCCCATATACAGTAAACTGTGATGCACTGTAAGTTCTAACACCTTTCTATCAAGGCCAGCATAAAGTTGTTCAGCAATTTGAGCTACTTTTTTGAGACTAGACCAGATGGGCTAACCGTTGCTCCTCATATGCATCATTGAGCCTTGGACGCCCATAACCATGACATCGGTTCACCAGTGGTTGTACTTCCTTGCACTATTTTTGGTAGGTACTAACCACTGCATACTGGGAACACCCCACAAGACTTGCTATTTGGAGATGCTCTGACCCAGTTATCTAGTCATCTTTTCACTCAGATCTTTTCCTGCTTCCAATACATGAAATTCAAGCATGGGCTTTTCACAAGTTGTTTAATACATCCCACCCCTTGACAGGTGCCAGTGTAACGATGTAATCATTGTTATTTACTTCACCTGCCAGTGGTTTTAATGTTGTGGCTGATCAATGTACGTTGGCGCTATAAAAATATTTTGCAAGACAAAATAATACAAATGTTTACTCAAAAGTATATATGAAAAAAAAAAACTACAAACAAAATGTATTTGTTTGAAAAAACTGCAACTGTATTAATAAAGTTTAAACATAAGATTTCAGATTCACATCTTTGAACAACTGGAAAACCAATTTTTATGCATATACAAAAGAGAAACCTGACAAACAGTGTGCGTGTAGTGTGTATTAACACAGTTACCATTGACAGATGTGTACTCTCTTGTTGTCTAGCCTGTGGGAACACAAATTTCTGTGTCACTGTTAGTTCAGATGTCATTGCTCCCTTGGAAATATGCAGTACAGAGACACAGCGTTCTGGGGATTCACAATATACCCATCTTATTGCTGTATTGCCAGCAGGTATAATTTCCTATTATTAACACAGGCAAATGAGTGAGCAAAGGTTGGAATGTGACATCAATGCTTGTATCTATGAAATGTGTTAAAGTACATGTTATGGGTGTGTTCAGCTCACAATGAAAGTAACCTTCAAAGCTTTCACTTCTGCTGAGAGCCAAGGAACATGAAAACAGTCCGCTTCTCCTACACACTGCTGGTATGTAAAATGAAAACCTTATATTATTACTTTAAGTATTTAATTCTGTAAAAATTTTATAAAAATCGAGATGTTTGTAGATTCAATATTACTGTTTCTAGACAGGACTCTATTATCAAACAGGTGTTTGATAGTATGGGACCATGTCCTAATCAGATCCGAAAGATTAGACAAGACGTAAGGGGACTTTGTCCATGGTCTAGACAGATCAATGTCAAATCAAATATAATAAGAGGTTAAAAAAATAACAGCAAGCAAAACAAACAAAAATTGTTGGGTTTATTCGATAAATCCAAATTAGGAATTTAACTCCAAAATATCCCAGCAATGACTACGAGATTGATTTTTTTTCCCCAGATCTTGAATTTTTAGATTTGGATTTTAATTTGCAACAATTGGAAGTTTCGTGAATAACCCTGTTTGTATGTTCATTACAATATCAGGAATCTAAATACTATTTTTTTGTTTAAGTGTGTTTGTGTTGTTACATTCCATATTAAGGGGATGCACACAGTCCACACAATGCTTTCTGGATTGAATATTGAACTCGCAGCAGTTTATTTATAATTTATTTATGTATTTATTCACTATATTTTATATACCGACACCTTCCTGAGAAGACACATGCCCACTTTGATTGGCACCTTGTGCAGTGATACTGTCATCAAAAAAAGAGAAAATCTCTATAACATGATGGTTTTCAAAAATAACAAAAAAAATTAAAATATTGTGGCACCATCTTAAATAAGTATGTCTGTTACCTTTAAATTAATCCCATTTATAAATAAATAATAAATACAATTTATAGACACATTTACATATGCATAGACACGGTACTTACATTAATTAACCCACATTATAATATTGACAGTAAATGGACCTCCAACCGTAAAGTATACTATATTGCATATCCACCTATAATGTCTGTAAAAATAAACAATTGTCTACTATGTACATCTGTTAATGAAACAAGAGAGAGTTATGTCAATGTCATATGTGTTAATGTTCCTCCACAATCCTTACATTCATGTCTATAAGAAGAACAACTAAACAAATGACTTCGGCGTCACCTGATAATTTAAGCATGCACAGTGTGCAAAAAGACATGCAATAGTCTAGCAAGACCTACTTAAATTGCATATAAAGAAAAAAAAATCAGTTTCACCTCTCAAATTCTTATCAAGATGATAAAAGCTGAATCTTACTGATTAAAATATATATATTTTTTGTTGTACCAATTTAAACTCAAGTTTTACGTGGACTAAGAACTATGTGCACAGTAAAAAATAATCTATTTTACATATTTATATATTATATATTTTATAGAAATATAATAAATAATTATGTAAATATAGATATAGATTTTTTTCGGCTTCTCCTTTTTTTCCATTTATTGGTTCTATTTTCTCACCTGATCTGTGACCCAAATAATGCGAAAATTTATATATTTTACAGTACACTGATTGGTCCATTTTTGTACCATTTTGGTTCGTCTGACTTGTTTTTCATGAAACGATCGTATGGATTAAACTCATATCGCCCCAAACCATTTTTTTTTTCAGACGAACCAACTTAATTCACCATGCACAAGTCTGTGGGTCAGCTAAAGGTAGAGTTAAAGGAACACTCGGGCACCATAACAACTTAATGAAGTTGTTATGGTCCCACAGCTGTTCTATTAAGTTTAGCGAGGATTAAAGGGAGTTAGATTTAGAAGTAGCAATAAAGTTTGTGTCTGGTTAGGATATTCCACATCTAAAAACACTTTGTAAAACAAAACCCAGGCAGAGATTAATTTACATTTTATGATGTCGGGATATTGAAACATAACTTGCATTACTTGTTTTTGGAATAGATAAGCCTGCACATATTTTGTTTTTCTGTCCGTCTAATGCGCTGTTATCAGGTGATACACTACGCACAGGGCTAATCATCTAGATCAAAATTTGACAACAGCCTCCTATGTCAATATGACATTGCCGAGAACCCCACCAAAGTGCAGTGAAACTGGATCCACAATTTTTGGCTACATGTAACTGTTTAACGCAAGACATCAAGTGTATTGTTTACATTACATGTTTCTACTTGTATTTTTTTTGTTTTGCCAACATCTCACCTTTAGTAATCATGTGTATATATTAACACAGAAACAGACCAGTTTGGCAAAACAAGAACTGTTGTTTTTTTTACAAAATGTAAAATGCTGGACTCTCAGGAAATGGTAGTGAGGAGGTCAGAGATAAACAATGAAAATAGCTATTTGCTTAGACGTATCACGTATGTATTGATATTTATTATATAACTGTTTTAACTGAGTTGTGTAATATGGTGTGAGGCTATGCACGTGGCCTTCACTAACCTTGCCAGATATCCATGCCTGACCAATATGGTCGATCATTGCAAACGGGATGGGCCACGCTACCAGCCCACCACGTACAGCGTGCATGACAGTCCACACAACGGTAGCCAATCACCTATACTGAAATACAACTCCAACACTGGGACTATAATCTATTTACTATTTTTGCCACTGTTTATCCCTTTGGGCTAAACAGTTCTGCTAAATGGTTTAGGTTTACTTTAAAAATTAACCTACTCGGTTAGAACGGATGGACTGTATTTTAATGTCTTGAGACCTGCGAGTCTCCGTCATGCCTTTTTGCCACAAGATCTGCAAATCTCCAAATGTTGAAATACGGGACAGCTCCTTGCAGGACCTGCGTGTCCTCCCACAATGCCGATCCATTTGTTCTGTCTTACATTACTTCTCTTTAATAAAAAAATATTTAGAAAAAAATATATATATCATGGCAGGTCATATGACAGTTGGATGATGCTTTCTCTAACTCCAACCTTGAAAAAAAAAAATAATAATTGAAAATATATATAATTAATTAAATCTTTAAAGCACAGTGCGATTTACAGTATCAAAATGTTTATTTGGGCAATATGATGCGACCAACACTTTAAATGCTGATACAGACTATATTAGGACAGCTGCAGTGAGAGGAATGTAATATATGAAACCTGTGCCACTGTATTGTAATATCTAAGAAACATACCAGGGAATGCAGAGCCCCCTGAAATCATTTTAAAAATATTGTATTACATGACATGGTATTACAGTAAACAGGGCATTTGTACCAATTGCATAACTACTTTATATTTGAGAATTAGCTCAAATTGTGATCACATGTCTTGGTAAAATGAATAGCGGATTAATAGAGGGTTTATCTACCATACTAAAAAGTAAAATAAAGTTTGCAATTTTTATATTCTTTGAATTGTATTTATTTAATGTTTTTTTCTGCTAGAAGAATAACTTGCATGAAGCTATTTCCAGTGATGATTCAGACAATGATTCCACAGAGTACAGTCAGGAAAGGACCCAGGTTAAAGCTATCGAAAACGCTAAAGAGGAGCCATGTGAGCCAGTTTTGGCTGGGGAGAGCCAGATTTTAATGTCGGACCATGTCAAACAGGTAGGTGTAAATTCATAGAGAGATTTCTAATAGGTACAGTAAATAGTTGAAAATGGGTGGCACTGATATGTGGTCACCAAAACTGAATGAATGAAAACTGACAAGGCAAATGTATTAAAATATTATTGATAGAGACCTAATCTCAACATATGAGGAAAGGGATTTAGGGGTGATTCTTTCTAAAGGACTTAAAGGTAGGCAGACAATGTAATAGAGCAGCAGTAAATGCTAGCAGAATGTTTAGTTGTATAGGGAGAGGTATTAGCAGTAGAAAGAGGGAAGTGCTCATGCCATTGTACAGAACACTGGTGAGACCTCAATTGGAGTATTGTACACAGTACTGGAGACCGTATCTTCAGAAGGATATTGATACCTTAGAGAGGGTTCTGAGAAGGGCTACTAAACTGGTTCATGGATTGCAGGATAAAACTTACAAGGAAAGGTTAAAGGAACTTAACATGTATAGCTTGGAGGAAAGACGAGACGGGGGGGATATGATAGAAACATTTAAATACATCAAGGGAATCAACACAGTAAAGGAGGAGACCATATTTAAAAGTAGAAAAACTACCACAACAAGAGGACATAGTATTAAATTAAAGGGGCAAAGGTTTAAAAATAATATCAGGAAGTATTACTTTACTGAGAGGGTAGTGGATTAATGGAATAGCCTTCCAGCTGAAGTGGCAGAGGTTAACACAGTGAAGGAGTTTAAGCATGCGTGGGATAGGCATAAGGCCTATCTAAGATAAGGCCAGGGACTAATGAAAGTATTCCAAAAATTGGGCAGACTAGATTGGCCAAATGGTTCTTATCTGCCGTCATGTTCTAAGTTTCTTTGCTGTTAGGAGCTTGTTCCATATGGCGTCACTAACTCCCCCTTTAGACTGTCCATCTGTGCATCATTTATGGATACAAGCTCTGTCCTTAAAATGCATCTACCTGCTCAACCTCTAATGCGTTTTCCGGGCATTTTGTAGATGCCAACTAAACACACATGGGAAAGGGCTATACATATACTACCCTTCCATCTCTCAGTGCCCTATTGTGGTTCTTTCAATCAAAGGTGGATCCAGGACCCAAATTTGGGAGGGGCACTGCCAAAAATGAGTGGGAGTTAGCCCCAGCAGTTCCCAGAAAATATATAAAACTATGAATATTTCCTACCCTACCTCTCTCTAGTAAAGCAGGCAAAGGGTATCACTCTTTCTCCTGAAGCTATTTTATTCTGCTCTTCTCCATTCTCCTGACCTGGCCTGTCTTTTGACCTTATTCGCTCTCCACCTGCCCTGTCCTTGGCTGTGCTACATTGCTCTGTCCTTGGCCGGTCCCTGATGTTCTTCTTATCACTGTTAGCCTCATCCATTCTAAGGACTGGTAATACAATCTCTGCTTTCCTACTTTTGTCTTTTGGGATCCGACCCTAATGTTCTCTTGTTCTCCTCAATCTTCCCATCAAAAAGGGCAGCACCTACTTTTGGTTATCGATCTTCCACATTTCACTCCCCCAATCCCATTACCGAGTAAACTACAGTTTGGTAACAGCTTTATTATTAAGAAGAATAAAGTCTGTTGTTGTACTATAACTAAATAATTCTTTGTGAGACATCTAATAACAGCAGTTGATGTTCACAGATTGGGCAGCAGCTGCCGCCGAGACTCCTGGTACATACATGGCAGCTTTTGTACAGCACAGAAAAACATGGCTTCAGTTTGAGAACCATGTATCGAACAATGAACAAAGTCAGCTCCCCAGTGCTGCTGGTAGTGAAGGATAATGAAGGGAAGGTAGGTGGGATACATTTTACTATATTGCATAAAACAAAGAATAATTGGTTGAAAAACTGTTCACTTTTTTAAACAAGAATCAATTAACGATTGTGGCCTTTTCCGATGAAAAGTAGTTCCAAAAACAAAACAAGAAAAATAGCTTTCATGGCGGTGATTCCATTTTTACTATTGTAGATTGACGGTCTATTCTGTCATTCCAAATATTATTGGGATTCAAATATAGCCAAGGTGGAAGTTACCGATTTCACAATAGATATATCAATTTCAGCCCTGTTTCTACCAAACACAGGAGGAACTGATGTCATTAGTGTGGAATTAGAGAATTCCGTATTAGTGATATCGGAAGAGGAGGCCAAATTGGAGGTGACCAGGGAACCCAGGTAAGTGTCATATTATTCAAAAACAGTTTCATAACTTACCATAGATAGCGCCAGGAGACTCCTGGAACCATAACCACTAAAATATAATATATAGTGGTTATGGTGCTTAGACTGCACATCTAACTCTAAATATCTGTTGGCTAATGCAAAAAATGTTTAGTGGCATGAACGGTACGACACTAATTGGCATACAATGAACTATACGAAATATTATGTATTTCTGATACATGGTAGTATAGATGTTTAAGGATACAATAAGTAGAAAATGTGGAAGGGTACATGTACAAGTCAAACCTAAATTAAAGCCTAGTATTAAAGATAAGGTAGAAGCTGATAAGGAAACAGGTAAAAATGTGGAAGTCTTATGGGTGGAAGTTTGCATGGAGCCCCCATTAAGCCCATCACGGGGGCAACACATTGAGTGTACAATGATTGACAGGATCTGAGAATGGTTCAATGCTTTATTCAAACACTCTACTTGGTGACCCCTTGAGAAATAACCAAAATATGCTCTAATATGAGAGCTGCAAAATAAACAAATTATGGGTCTTTGCAGTGGGATGCACCAAGTCTATGAAATTAACCTCAAATATGAAACGTACATGAAAAATATGATGTAACCATCAGTTTTGACAGAGGTCACTGATAAAATAGTTAAATGAAAAATATTGTATTTGTCCTATAATTTCCAAAAATTGATGGGAGTCATTAAAGGACCACTATAGGCAACCCAGACCACTTCAGCTTAATGAAGTGGTCTGGGTATCAGGTCCAGCTAGGATTAACCCTTTCTTCTATAAACATAGAGAAAACTGCTATGTTTATAATAGGGTAATCCAGCTTCTAGTGTCTCATTGGCAGCTGCTAGAGGCGCTTCTGCGCTTATCACTGTGATTTTCACAGTGAGAAGACGTTTGCGTCCATAGGAAAGAATTGAGAATGCTTTCCTATGGACTGGCTGAATGCGAGTGCGGCTCGTGCCGCGCATGCGCATTCAGCCAATGACGACGAAAAGGAGGAGGAGAGTCCCCCGCCTGGCACTGGAAAAAGAGGTAAATTTAACCCCTTCCATCCCCTAGAGCCCAGCAGGAGGGGGACCCTGAGGGTGGAGGCACCCTCAGGGCACTAAAATGCCAGGAAAACTAGTATATTTTCCTGGCACTATAGTGGTCCTTTAAGCATTTCCAGTGTCATAACAAACAAATGAATCAAACTTAGGTTGTTGGTTTTTTTTTAGCTGCACTCTGAAGAAATAATTCTATACAAACTTTGAAAATGTATTTTATTCAGCTACTTTGTAGTATGGTGGACAAGCCCAAAACCCTATCTGTCCTTTAAAAACCATATATAATATGCACAGATGCATTTAAAGGTAAACTCACTCCTCTATAATTTACATCATTATATAAAACATTTACAAAAACCATTATCTTTTTTCATGAGATGGAACATTTTCTTTTAACTTTGTATTAAAAGTTTAACCATTGACATCATAATCTAGTTCAGAGAAGGCAAAGCCAGGGCAAACATTAAAGGGACACTATAGTCACCAAGTCAACTTTAGCTTAGTGAAGCAGTTTTGGTTTATAGTTCATGTCCCTGCAGTCTCACTGCTCAGTTATTGTCTATTTAGGATATAAATCACTTTGTTTATGCAACCATAGGCACACCTTCCTGCATGTGACTTGCTCAGCATTTCCTGCAAAGTCATCTAATGTTTAACCCCTTAAGGACCAAACTTCTGGAATAAAAGGGAATCATGACATGTCACACGTCATGTGTCCTTAAGGGGTTAAACTTCCTTTATTGCAAATGTTGTTTACATTTTAATGTTTTATTTCTTGTTCTGTTAATAACTTGCTAGACTTTAAAGGAGCCTCCTGTATGTAATTATTGTTCAATTTACAGAGAAGGAGAAAAACCTTTAAAGTAAGTTACATCTGATTGAAAATGAAGCCATTTTGTTTTAATGAAGGCTGTGTCAGACATATCCAGAGGAGGTGTGACAAGGTCTGCATAAACAGAAACAAAAGTGATTTAACGCCTAAATGGCAGTGAATTGAGCAGTGATACTTCAGAGGCATGATATATACACCAAAACTGCTTCATTAAGCTAAAGTTATTTTGGTGACTATACTGCCCCTTTAAAAATAAAGATGAGACATAAAACCATTGTTTCAATATATCAATCTAATTGCAATTTATCTTGCAGGTATTCGGAGCTTTCTCTTCCACTGAAATACAGATTACTCCTAGTTTCTACGGCACCGGGGAGACCTTCCTTTTTAGTTTTTCACCAGAACTAAAGGTAAATGATGCGCTCATTTGCCTAATGTTTATTGATACGTTTTAAAATGCAGTCTATGAGACTTTATGTTTTAATCTTTCATACTTTAACTTATATTTCTATTTTTCTTTTGTTGTACATATATTTGGTTTTCAACACTGGTATAATTTTTGTATTCTTCTTATTTGATGATCTATCTACTGTAACATAAACTAACTTATACTTTATAGGATTACTTTTACATTTTCAACGTGGTGCAGAAAGGGTTAAAAAAAACTTCTGTCACTTACCTGAGTCCAGCGCTGATGTTCCTCAGCGCTGGGTCAGGTCTGCCTCCGCTCCTCCCCTACCGACGTCAGCCGGCGGGGGAGTCTTAAAGCACATGCACGGCAATTGCAGCGCATTAGGATTTCCCCATCAGGGATTGGGGTGACTCTGGATGCATAGCGTGAGGACATCCAGCATCAGTTAGGCAACCAAAAGTCGCTTAACGACTTGGAAGTCCCTCTAGTTGCTGTGTAGTAGACCGTTACTAGAGGTGGCGTTAACCCATAAAGGTAATTATTGCAGCTAATTAATAACTGCAATAATGCAAGGTTAAGGGACCTGGAAATATGCACCCAGATCACTTCAATGAGCTGAAGTGGCCTTGGTGCCTATAGTGTCCATTTAAGCGGAGGAAAATATTGAGACAAAATAGTCCCTTCTTTCTCTCAGTATATCTTTTGATTGGGTTAAAATTTCAGTGAAATTCCAACACAGTCAATCGGAGTACTTTATAAAGAGTTTATCCAAGAAATAGTTAATTTGGAAAGGCAGTGGTGACAGATCTGATTTAATAGTACAGCTTTGGTTTGACTGGAGATACAGAATGTTAAGACACTGCAGAGCTCTATATGAGAACACTACCTAACCTTTTCCTTCTTGTAATGGAGAATTGTGGGTAGGATGCTACAAGACGATTTTTTTTTTAAAATTCTTTATTTTGTTGTGCATAGCATTTTCAAACAATTATGTGCTGTCATTTCAGTGGTAACAGGCTTTGGTAGTATATGATTAGAGAGGTAGTTACATGGCATACAAGTAATAAGCACATTTTCCAACAAGGGACAACAGGAAATTTTAACAGTTAGGTTAGTCACAGTGAGGTGGGTTTAGCGTTGTGTGGTGTTCGGCTATGTAGTCTGTGTGATTCGTTGCAGTCTACTATGGGACTAGCTGGACGTGGTAGGGTATGTATGCTGGGCGGGCATGGTGGCTTAACGGCACTACAGTGGCTTGCATCAGCGATGCGTCTGGATGGTCATATGTGTTCAGGCTTCCGTGCTTGTATCTGTCATGCTATGAGTGTAGTAAGCCAGTTGCGTAGGCATTGTGTTCGTGTCTGGTGTAGCTGGGCCTTGGGCTGTGCTGTCATTGAGGGTGTCTTGCCTTGCTCTGCCTCTGCATTGAGGATGGTTACCCCTAACCATGGGGGTGACTGGGGGGGGGATGTTCGTGGGGCCTAGGTGCTCATTCGGGCATCTTCCGTGCTGTCCAGTCCTTGTGATATTTTAGGTCATAGGGCCCCATTTCCGCATGGTTCACGGGCCTGGGTACCAGTGGTGTATCTTGGTTTTGTGCTGCCCTAGGCAGGACAAAACTCAGGCGCCCCCCTGACCCCCGCGCCACCCCCACCCAACCCTTCCCCCCGCCCCACCTTCTAAATACACACACAGTCAGACACACACACATACACAAACACACATACACAGTCAGAGACACACACACACTCACAAACACAGTCAGACACAAACATTAACTTTTTTTTTTATTTAAATCCCCCCCCCAACCTCCTTACCTTTGGGAGTGCTGGGGGGGGGGGCCTCTCTCCCTGGTGGTCCGGTGGTCCAGTGGCTGCAGGGCGGGCGGCGCTGAGGGAGCACTTCCTATGAGCTGACTGCTCAGCTCCCTCACGCGCCGGCTGCAGAGTGAGGCTGGGAGCCGGAAGATGACATCATCTTCCGGCTCCCAGCCTCACTCTGCGGCGCGCGAGGGAGCTGAGCAGTCAGCTCATAGGAAGTGCTCCCTCGCCAGCCGCCTGCCCGCTCGCGATGTCAGTTAGCCGCAAGGCTAACTAGGCATTTGCCCTGGGCATTTGGGGGGCGGCGTTTTTTGCCGCCCCCTGAAAAATGCCGCCCAAGGCAAATGCCTTGTTTGCCTCGCGGCTAATACGCCCCTGCTGGGTACCTGAGTGTCTGTGGGTTAGTCAGGTCAGAAGAGAGAAAAAACAATAAATCATAGTGAAAGGCATTATAAACATAAAACATTAAATTAACTTCTGTGGATTTCTCCTTCGTTTGGGTGAGGGCGGTGTGGGCTAATAGTCCGACTTGGTCAGAACTTAGGTTTTGCCAGTAGGTTAGTGTTCATGGGACCTAAGACCCCAGTTCCTGGGGCATGAGGGGAGGCGGTCATGTTTTCTCTGTGCTCTCCGTGGCGTTTCGGAGCCTGGTTCGGCAAACCGAGGGTTTTCAGGTAGTTGGAGGCTTCCTCAGGTGATGTGAGGACTTGTGTTGTCCCTGCATGGGTAACTTCCATGAAGCCCCCTGCTCCCCACCTCTAGGCTATACCTGCAGCGCGTAACTCTGGGCAGTTGGGCCGTATGACTTGCGCCACAGCAGTGTCGCTCTAGATAGTTCCTGGTAGAAGCTAATCTCTGAGTCTTTAAAGGGCAGTGGTGTTCGATCTTTTAGCGCCGCCATGATATGGAGCTTGTCCTGTACTGTTACGCATCTTAAGATGACGTCTCGAGTTGCTGGTGATTTCAGGTGTGTGTAGGTCGGGAGCCGATAGACTTCATCTATGGCGATTTTCTTTGCAGTTGCGTAGGGGAGTATGCTGGCCAGGATTGCCTTTGGTGGCTGGTGCAGTGTCGTCTGGGGCTTCAGGCTGCTGTGTCAGTGCTGTCTTCGTGGCCAGCGGGGTCTCTGATCCGCCCTGCTCTATGTGGTGAGTATGGTTCGACTCCCGTTCATCTCCCGCGGGCATGGGAGCGGGACACAGTGCACGGGGCGTGGCAGCAGCGCGCCTATATCTCTGCTGTCAGCCGCTGATTTTTGGGACTTGCGCCCCATTGCCCGTGAGTGAGCCGGTGTTTCAATAGGTGAGGGGGTAGTGGGTGCCCCTCTCTCTCTGTCCATGGTCGGAACAGGAATACCCCTAGGTCCCGGATTGCTGGCGTGAGGTAGGCCCCAGTTTCCGCTTAGGGAGCTTGTGCGGTTGGAAAAATGGCGTCTATCGGTGCCTCTTGCTTTACTGGTCCCGTCTCTGTGGGTGGTAAGGCTGGATGAGTGCCCGTTTCTGGGATTTTGCCCAGATTAAGGTGTTTTAGTTGGGAGGTAGTAGAAATGGTGTCTGGTGCCATGCGATGGCAAGCTCCGCCCCCGCTACAAGACGATTTTATAGAGTTTGTCTAAAGCAAGGGCTAGCATTCTGTCTGGGTAGTACTGAATATTACCGGAGAAGCTACAGCATTGGGGTATGGGGTGGTGACACCCCACAAAAATGTATACAACCTTTAAATCGATCTACGTGTTGTTTTTGGCAACTTGGCCAAGATAACACAGAAAGCAAATAGCTGCTTCAAAAAAGAAAAAAGTTTAACAATTTGAAATTTCTATTTCATATTTTTTAAATATGTTTTATCATATACTGTTGCAAAGTTATCAAACTTTTACTAAAATATTCGCCGTGATTATTGAGACTTTGATTTTTATTTGTGCTGCTCACGTTTAAGGCCAGAGTAGGGTAATTTAAAACATAGATGACTTAGAGAATTGTTCCAGTTCAGCTATACTGACCTTAAATTTGAAATCCACTTTGAATTCCCTGTATTGATCCTGTTAGTCTGTTGGCAAGTCAGGCAGTAACTGAAAAGTACAGAATCCAGATTCGTTGTAGTTGACTGGAGTTTGTTTTGCACCACTTTACCACTAGCAGTTCACAGAGAAAATTAATGGTGATTTATATAAAAAAAAACAAAAAAAAACAACAATATAAAATACACATGCAGAAACCACAAGGAAAAATGGTACCTGGTAGAGGAAAATTTATAGGCAAAAAAAAAATGTTAGGAAAAGGAAAGTATAATTTGTTTATTTTATTCATCAGTATAAACTGAAGCAATTGTTTAAGGCATGTCACAGCTATACAATATTGAACATTGGTATACAGAATGCTCCAACAGTGGAGAAACAGATAGTGAGTGAGTCATCACGAACAACAGTATTACAGAGTCAATTAATATCGATAACAAGGGTACAGAAATGTGACTTTGTTTGTTAAGAATGAAAAGAGAATCCAGAACCCAACGGTCCTGCTCCCCTCCGGCCCACCAGCCCCAGCAGGCCCCCACAAGGCTGAAGAGGGTTGGGCAGAAGCAGGGCGTAGTACAGACGTGTAGAGGAGGCAAGAAGGGGGGTACAAAGAAGAACAAGGAGAGAGAAGAGAGAGAGAGAGAGAAGAAAAAATAAAAGGGGGGTGGAAAGACTGGAAGAAGGGTGGCGGCATTTATTGGCACTTGGTGACTCGCAGCTGTGGCCGCGGGCATCATCAGTCCCTACCATCCATGGCCACGTCCCAATTCTGTCCCCTGCCAAGCGTCTCCCACCCACTCGTCACTCCATATCCCGTCAGCCCTCAGGGTCCTTTGATGGTTAGCGAGAGCCCCACTGTTCTGCGGTTTGTTTCTGAGTCCTGTCATATTTGGTGGTTTTTGTGTTCAGCCAAGTCACCTGTCCCTTGGGCCAGGATGTTGCCCCTCAGGGGCAGGTGTTCGGTATGTTTGGACATGAAGTCTAACCATGGCGTCTACGTCTGTAGGCAACATTCTGTTGTCCCGCGTAGGGGCTGTGAGTGTCTCCATTCCATAGAGGTCTTCCACCTTGTCCATCCCATTTTGCAGTGTTGGGACATCAGTCGAGTGTCACCGAATCGGGTTGAGGGATTTTGCAGCGTTAAAGAGGTGTCTAGTGAGTTAGCCTTTGTAGGCAAAGAAATTAAGTTTTGTGTGGTGTAGGAGCATAGGAAAAGTATAATTTAACTGATATAGGGTCGGAAGGTAGTTTCTGACAGATTTTTGTTGTTGTTTGTTGTGTTTAAAGAGAAAATTATATATATTTGCTATCTCAGGTTATGGTTTTATTAATTTACAAAACTGAGAACAATAGTGAGATGACAAGAGTTCGAAAATTAAAGACCTAAAGTGGGAACTGTAAATAATATCTTACTTGCAATATGGGCCTTAATTGTGCGTATGCTTCTTATAATTTGTTTTGGATTTAATAGATACGCCCCATGTGTATAACTAAAACAAACCGTATTTTCAGCATTCTTTTCTCTGTTTAACTTGTGTGTATACAGGTATTTCGTTGGACAGGTGAGAATACCTTGTTTGTTAGAGGGGACACACGTTCACTGACATTCGGAGGGGGGAGATGGTAAGCAAGTCCTCTAAAACCTTTAGCTTTGATCAAATCTAGGCACTCAATAGAAGTAAGGCTGCTGCACATCATCTGACATGATCAGCCAATGACTGTCTTCCAAGTTTGGACAAGACGGACATAAGAGGGCTTAGAATGCCCTTTCAAGTCCAATCTATTTTTCATTGGATCTTAAAAACTAACTGGAAGTTAAAAAAAAGGTCAAAACTAGTAGACAGTGATTTAATTTAATTATTTTTATGGATTTTATTTCCAGTGGTACTTTTGGATTGTGGTTGGATGAAGATTTGTACCACGGAAGAAGTCAGAGGAGCGAAACTTTTAACAATGATATACTATCCACCCAGGAACAATTCTGTATCAATAACCTTGAGGTGTGGGCATTTACGTGAGACTTGCTAACTACATTTATATGTACTGAATGGACAACTACAGTATTACCAAACCTCATGAAGAAAAACACATGATCGCAAACCAGGAAAAGATCTCCATTTGTACTTGAACTGAATATTTATTAAAAACTCAGTCTTTAAGTAAGCAAGTTCAGTTTAAACAATGATTCAACATGTCCAAATGAAAGTTTTCTTAACATAGTGAAGACTTTGCGAAACAGCTTAGGTCATTTCTCTCTATAGAAGATTGTTGCTCTGCTAAAGAGATAAAAACAAAATGTTAGTATGGAATTTCAGATATTTTCTGTTAATATAAATTTCCATTTGAATGTTGTGAAAACTTTTTTTTACATGAAAATGATGTCTATATCATGGATTCTAGAACATTGTTGATGACCAATATGTGTCTCTCAAAGATATTTAAGACATCCATGTTGACTTGAAGACTCATATATAATATTGTGATTCATCAATAAATGTATATAATATAACCTCAAGGTATTTGGGTAAAAAATTCTCGTTGTATTGAAGTTAATGCAAATTTTTCTCTATGATGTTTTTATTTTACTTTTTATTGAATATTCAAAAGGGAGAAGATACAGAAGGCTGATGGCATGGATGGGTTGGTATACTGCATATTAGAAAACCAGTAACTATATATACATATTGGGGATGTGATATTTGAAAGTGTAGATATGATTCACTGATGCATTCTGTAGCTTCTACTTAGAGATAGACAGCCTAAGTAAGACCTCTTAAGAACAGGAAAATGTGAGGATAAAATGACAAGAATTTTATTTGATGGTTGATCAGGAGGCAAGACAAGACGAATATGTTTATGACTATGGAGCTAAAAATAACTCAATACCTTGCCCAGGTTCCAAATCTCATATAGCATTGTACGAGGTTTTAAGGTTATGGAAAAGAGGATTTGGTCTGGATGACCTGTGGCATGGCCTGAGGTCCTTCAGTTTCCAGGTTCACATTATTTGTAGGGTAGTTTCCATTAGCAGGTAGGACAAAAGTTTTGTGTTTTTTTGACAGCATTTAAAAGCACTTGGATACAAATTCAGCAGGGGCCTTTGGAAATAAATGGGATTGAGTATTTACAATATTTTGGGTTTAAATGATAAATTTGCCTTTTTGGGCCAAATATATAGCAGTGTAACAATGTCATCTTGGTGCCTTCAACAGGATGAGGTGGCATTATGATAGGGGTTGTGGTACTGACTAAATATAATCTTTAGGTAACATTTCACCTGATTAGTGCACTGGATGGTGTCAATTAAAGTTTTAAATATTGTCATTTAAAACGTCAAAAATTATATATGGGAATTTCTCAACAATTTTGTCCTGCAAATAAGGTTGTAGGCCCAGGAGGTTTAGAGTTTATAGCTCCCTGTTGTGGGACTGAAGAGAAGTGTGGATAGAGCTATATCTATTCAGATTTTATAACTTTGAGATTCTCCAGCTTGGAACACATGTTTACGGCGTACATGTGTCCAATTAATGTATGTAAAACATTGTATTGGAGGTGAAATTCCAACCAGAGTAATTTAAAGGGTTTAATATGCAGTTATGTTGCATGTAGTGTCTACAGGGTCCATGTTTTAAGTTTAGCTGGGGTACAATGCCTTCAATGACAAAAGGAGAGATACTTCCGCTCTGACATTTTGATGTAAGTATTATTCTATTTCTTTCTGTGATATTCTAACCTCCATTACAAAGACAGTGAGGCCATATATCTTACTATTTCCAAATCAGGGGGTATACTATAAAATAGGGTAAACATATTAAGATATTGTATATAGGGGGAGAGAATTTTTGATACGTATTGGTAAAAATGTATTATAAAAGTTAGGTACGTGACTTAATATTTATTAATGGTGACAGTTTCAGAGGCATTCAGGATATAAGACTAGATTAGCTTGGTATATTAATTTATTGTGTATTTACTGTGTTAATCCAGTTAAGTCATAGCCTTTTGGCTTCAGGAATGAAAGCTGTATACACAATGTCTTTGATCTTTGCTATTTCATCGAGGATTCTGATCACATGACTTCAGCTGTTAAACGAACCAAGACGGAGTAATCATTATACCTGTCATTGATCATGTGATCTTTCTAGGTCTTTGAACATCTGTCACAAATGTAGTTGGTATTGTAGACTTCTTTAATCGGCTATCAATATTCGATCAGGTGGCATTGCTTGGAAATTCCATAAAGTCACATTTTTACTACTTAGCAGTTTATGCAACCTTTGTAGCTCTTAGAGTCTTGTCTTACGTCCTGATGTTAGTTGCTGCAAGAACCTGGGCAAGGTCATTTTGGATAATGATAATTGTCAGCAAATATTTGGACAAAAAAAAATGCCTACGTGTTATTTTTAGGTAATAGCAAATTGTAACATATAGGAAGTGTCTTTTTCATAAGTGTACATTTTATATATAACTTAAAATCCGAAAGAGGCTGGTTATGAAAAGACGAGAATTGGGCTCTATGCCATGATTAACGTGTGATCTTAGTGATCTAACCCCTTAAGTAAGATAGCTCCCAGGAACTCTTGGCACCATAACAACTTCATCGAGACTATAGTGTCTGAAGTGTTATTTAATGTTAGCTTACTATTTCAACATCTTTGTAAGTCTGGAGAGTTATACATACAATAGCCAGTGGGGGGAGATAGAGTATTTATCAATGTAATTGTGTAAACTCAAAGCACGCCAGGCTTAATTTGCAAGGTCAAGACAATTGTCTGATACCCAAAGTATATTCCCTAGTGCAACAAGTATAATAAAGTATAAGTTTAGCGCTAACTATAAAGATGTATGTGTGGTGCTGCCACAGCCACCACGTGTTGAGTCAGTCTACACAGCACAGTGAAACCCCAAGTATTAAACAAAATTATGGTGAGAGCGCATAAGTTAAAAAGGAAAGCAATGACGTAAAGACGTAGTGACGTAAGGAATCTTATCACTGACCGGAGAAACTGTAGGTAAAACCTGATGAGAGGATGCTGGAATCACCTGAAAATTCATCATATAAAGGCAAAGAACCCACTATGCTTCTTTTTTTTATTTTTTATAATTCTTTATTTTTGATATGCAGGTAGGTACAACAGTGCCTGTATCGCCACAACAGCATCAGCAGGCTCGAATGTCATGGTCATAGTAAAACAGTAACATGGCTTGTTGGGTTTGCATATATTTTTAAATAAAAAGTAGTAACAATCCAAAATATGGTCATTTGTGTGCCAAATGGCAGGCTTAAGTAGTACTTTTCTAAACAAGGCTTAACAAATGAACTTGAGACGAGCAGGTACAGGAAGTGTCTACGTGTGTCCCTGAATGTGAGGCGTCGAGGTAGTATGCAGCAAGCTTAGCGACGTTTAAAGTGCCACTGGTCATGCTAGGTGATAAATTAGCGGTAGTATTACTGAAAGAGTGTGAGGCCCGGTATGTTAAAAGGGGCCATCCCAATTAGTGATAGCCTGCCTCGAGATCAAATATTCTGGTATTCTGTATGTTTGTGTAACTAATGAACATAACATTCTTGCAGACAGCAGACCAAACTCTTGCAATATCCTACGCTTAATTGCCTCGTCATGGCATTTAGATTTCTTGCACATTTTTGTTACGTTAAATACAGTTGCTAACATGCTAGTCGGGGATGTCTAGGTAGAGTGGACATGTAGTAGGTTCATGAGAAGGTCTAGACAAAGGAATTAGAAACAATTGCAAAAAGAGAAGTAATAATTATTATAAACGTCAGAGGTAATAACATGCTGGGTTAGCCTAGATCTTATAGTTTACATATGAGCGTGGATATGCTACAGCAACTTTAGGCTTACATGCTACATCGCAGTGATGTTGAAGGCTTCCCTGTGCATATGCATAAAATTAAATTTAACAGGCTTAGTCTGTCAGCTAGTGTCAAGCCGGTGTACACCGTGGAACTGTGGGTACTGGGTAGGTGTTAGACAAAGGAAATATGTGATGTATCCTTTCTAGGAGCTATTGACAAAAGTGGTGATTGGGTAGTTAAACTGAGCTTGGCGCCCGTACTCGCTTATGTTGGGGCTAACCTAAAGAAGTGTACAGTATCTGTATAACTGGGCTAGCGTGGTTCCTTGAAGCTTGCTCCCAAGTTGGTATTTTGCAAAATAATGAGTGAGAAGTAGGGCAATAACAGAAAAAACATGCAAGCAGTATATGTAGCAATACTAGGAGAGGGAAGTCCTGAGAGACGTGATAGGTTAGTTACCTCTGTTGTTATCCCCCTGGTGTGGGCCTGTGGGCAAAGAGGCTACCAAGCAAGGTTTCTCCATGTTGGATACATTGGTGTAAATATTAAGTGCCTGCTTGCATCACTACTTTCACGTAGCCGGTTGGCTGCCGTGTGTTACCTAGGGTTTACCCCTCACGGATGAGTCCCTGGGCCAGTCTCGATCTGTGCCAGCAGGGGGTACGGCGTAGTGCCAGAGTGGGGAGGTATGCTGCATGTCTCCTATCCACTGTGTAATCCGGTGTGTTGGGACTCGTGTTTTGTGTCTATTGCTGCTCATATTGCTACGGGGGTGACTGCGGCTAGGTCTGGCTGTGGGTAAAGTTAAATTATATTATAGGAAAACAACAATTAGATCGTAGTCAAACAACCGGTTGAGTTGCTCCCGGAGAGGTTCATGTCTCTTAGAGAGGGCGGGTGTAGTAGTTCTGTGAAGGCAGTTCGTGGGGCCGTTTAGGTTTAAGTGAGTGTGCCTGTTGCCTCCATTTAGGTGGTGACCGAGGCGTAGGCGTCTGGTGTAGTACTTCTTGGTATGAACGTGGTAATTCGTGCCGGGGAAGCATGATCGTAGGGTCTCTCTTGGGTGAGAGAGTCCTGCGGTAGGCCCAAGGTTCGCAGGAGATTCGCCGCCTCCTGAATGCTGTGGATCTGGTGCGTGTTTCCTCCTTGTTGCACTAGGAGTGTTTGGGAGGGCCGCCAGCGGTAATGTATGTTGTGTCGCTGGAGCAGGGATGTGAGAGGCCGGAGTGACCTACGCCAAGCCAGAGTTCCGCTGGACAAGTTGGCGTAGAAGGTTAGTTGCATGTTTTCAAATTGTAGGGGGGTTTTACCCCGGAGAGCCGTGAGGATCACAGATTTGTCCTTCCCATTCCTGAAGGTAATTATTGTATCCCTTGTGGCCGTGGCTGGGGCCCTGGAGGGTTTGGGGACCCGAAAGAGGTCTGTGAGTGTGATGGACTCAGTTTGGTTGGGGGGCATTATAGCGGTCAACATACGTTTAAATGCTTGTGGTAGCTCTGCCTCCAGAATCTCCTCCGGGATCCCTCTGACCTTTAAATTATGTCTCCTTCTGGTATCTTCTTGGGCCACGGAGCAGCGTTCATATAGTAGGTTCTGGTTTTGTAAATCCTGCACGGCTGTCTGTAGTGAGGAAATATTCCGTTGGTGTTCTTGGGAGGAGTCCTCTAACGTTGTTATTCGG